ATGTAAATTTCAATTGAAAGTCAAAAATGTGCCAAAAACTACCGCACCTATATCCGGATATAGGTGCACCCCTTGTGTAAAAACTCACATATAAGTGCATGCACCTATAAGCGGGGTAATACGGTACTAGTTATTTAATCATGATATTTACAGAATTAACTTATTGTTTATCAAGAGTGTTGTGTTGAATGATAGGCGGCTATTAATGCGTGCGATTGCAGCACACAATTACTGGGAGTGTCAGACACGGCGTGTAAACCATAACTTATGGTATTTTATATTTTATATTTACTACATTTGGTCCATTGCTCTGGAAATGTGCGTTTATTTCATGTTTAAATCGGATACAACTACAACGGGTATCTTAACTGCCGGTGTTTATCTATGTGCCACTTTGGGCATTATATTTCAAAACGCAATAACAATGAAACGCATACCATATGCGGCGCACCGGCCGTACGCCCTATTGGTTGGGTATACGTGTCGGTCATCGACGGTGTTGTCAGCGAGAGATCGGCTAAAAGTGATGGCATTTATCGAGCGATTGTCGTCGAAACCAATCATTGGTTACTATTGTTTGGATTTATTTCCCATTAATAGCTATGAAATATACCAGTTGTGTGCTATTGTTGTCAGTAATTACTTGTTAATAACAAAATTGTTTTAAAGTTACAGAGTTGGCATTATTATCTATTACAGTATAAATATACTATTAATTATATTATATAACAGAATAGCTATAATTAATAAAATCTTAAATAATCCAAAAATATTTGGTAACAATTATTATAATAATAAATGTTGATCATCTCAATAAAAATTTGTGCAAAATAACCCACATTATATTTTCAATTATTGAAGTCATCTACTATGTTTATTATTTTTTAAAAAGCTACTGGATAATGGTATCACATATTTTATAAAATTTATTTAAATAAAAAATAATAATAATCACATAATTAATTTTTTAAACAATTATAATTTGACGATTAATTATAGCGGACGCGGAGAATGCAATTCACGGACACTGTTGTCGAGCACCGGTATGTGTTCGCTGTCTCGACTGCCCTCCAGTCCACTCATTACCCCATTATTTCCCCAATCGTTTAACGATCTCTGATGAGTGGCCCGATGTGTCAGTTGATAGTGTATTATCATACCTCCGGTGCCCTCCAAATGGGTCAACACAATCACTATTTGTCTAAATAAATACATAATTATAATTAAATACAAGTATTACCATAATAAATAATTAGTCACATGCATAATAAATACAGTAATTAAGTAACTAACCTATGAAGTGGTGGTATACTGTCTGCTGTTTTTAACGTAGATCTGGTAGACACCACGTTCACACTGTCCATACAGTTGCATATAACCTGTGCATATGTGGTCGGGTGTCGGTTCTCCACCATCACCACCAGTCCTGACCAGTGTTTAGTCAGATAGTAAGCGGTTATACCTTCACTGCACTGTTTGTAAAGTAATTAAAAGTTTTATGTTATAGTTAAAAGTTTCTAAACACAAAATATAATAATTTAAATTATATGTTTAACTAGATTTACCTCATGCTTACGACCCCTGGCCAGCGCCAGCCCAATGAGACAGTCGGCGATTATATACCGGGGCGGAGACACCCTCTCCGTCAGCATAATCTTCGAGCTATGAATGGCCAACAAATACGGCGGACAATCACTAACACCTAATATATAACACATGATAGTTAAAAACATGATAATAATTTTCACCATAATGTTATCATCAGTTTTACTAACCGTTGTGCCAGTGGTTGAAAGAAATGGTAACCACGGCATACACGCCGGGCTCCAGTATCTCATGACACGAGACAAAACTCTTCACCTGACGCTTACTCTCGCAGACCAGTCGCCCGACCAGACCGTTGAACCCAAACACTGCCACAAACAGATCCAGTTTGTGGTGACTATGGCTGTCATGGGCTGAAGACCGGTGGCCGGACTGATACAAACACAGCTCCACTTCCGTCGGCTCAGTCACTGTCACCAAAATCACTGTCAGGTCATCCGTGAGGGCACCGGTAGCGGGAAATTTACCCTCAATGCGACACTCGTGCCAATTCTGGCGCACTTTGCATATGTCTATTGAGTCGAAATACTTGCACACATCACCGAAACACATCCAGAAGACACCATCGGTCGCACCGTTGGGCTGAAGTTGACTCCGGAGGGCGGGTGTCCATAGGCTGGACTCGTCGGACCAGTCGCCGCGCCACGAGAACCGGCCCCAGGGGTTACGCAAACGGACCAATCGGTGACCACTACCCTTACCGCCAGCCACGCTGGGCACCGCCTGTACATCCATTATAGAGTACGCGTGCCGTGGCCTCAGACCCACGGCCTGATAGGCCCTATCAGTGATCGTATTATTAGCGCCTCCGCCACAGGAGGCGCCCATCAAAAAGCCAGCCATCCGTGAGCTGAGCAGTTGGGCCCACACCAGGTCTTCGTCCAGGGGTTCCCTGCCGTCCATCTCCAGCTCCAGTGTATCGCACGGCGCGCCCGTCAGTATCGACAGGCCCTCCACCGCCCGGCCGGCCACTAACGACTCGTAACAGCCGTACATTTTCGCGACAGCCTTCTCGATGAACGGCACCCATAGCTGCCGGTGCGCCGCCTGCGAGTAGACCAGTCGCCGGTACCGATCGCACGGCAACAGGTCGTCGATTAGGATTGTCTGCCACCGGCCGTCGTGACAGAGCCGCACCTGATAGGCGCCCTCCGGGCACACGTCACGCGTGATCATCACCTGTCGGACCAGCT